TCCTAAGTCTTTATTTTCCCACTTAAAGACATTTTCAAGCCCCCCTTTTTTAGGGAAGTTCTAAATTAGTATTGTCTTTCAAATGCCGTTGGAATTTAACCTTTTCATTTTTTGGGCCTGCAAATGGGACATAGTACCTTTAAAGACATGTTTGCTATAAAGTGCAACTACAGTATATGAGCCAAATTGTAATGTGCAATAGATTGAATTATTTTAGTCTATCATGCACACATGTACATGTACAGGATGTACTTGTTGTATTATATGAGGAATAAACTGAGCTTCAGTACAGCATGACCAGCACCTACATGTAGCTGCATTAATGATGCTGGGTATTGATGAATTATAAATGAATTGCTGCGTCCATGCTATATATACCGGTAGTGATGAACACCTTTTTAAGTTTCTATACATTGGATTCAGATCTCCATTTTGTAACCTGTTTCACCCTATTTAATCATGCATAAATTACAAGCAGAAACCAGTGGGTGAATGAAATCATTGCCATCGCAAGTACTGATTCTGTTGTCTAGTTGGTCGAATTGAGAATTATTCTGGCTTTCAGATGTTCACATAATCTCACTATACATGTTGATTATTCACCTTTTCAGCTGATATTACTTCTGTGTGAAGATCAATTGATCATTGTATGCTACATTTAGCATTTTCCTGGTGCCTGATTTTACATTTTGTCAATTCATTATAATGTTTTCAGGCTTCTCACCCCTCCCTTTGGTGGGTTATTTTCATATTCTAAGGTAATAATATTTTAGATTTAAAAAAAATGCAAGATTGACAACACTCCTGTATACATTTACTTGTAACCTACAGTGTAACATCATTTTCACAAAAGAGAAATCATGCCAACATGTCCATGTACAATATGAGCTTGAATTTTAAAAAAAATCAACTAGATTTCCAACTTAGATATGGATGGTACATTTAAGATTTATGTTTATCTTCAATCATAACCCTTTATGTGCCCTAATGGTCTGTGGTCTGGAGGTAAATGCACATTCAAACTAAAGGAGATGTAGATAGTACAGAGTGAGGTGTAGTGAATGTTAATGATATAGAGCCTATTGAATATCTCTAACTCTAAGGTCCTAGTATTTGATTTGGTCTGATTTTGAAGGTACAATGTACATGTTGTACAGGGCTCATATTCATTAAACCTTACTAAGATAAGTAGTCAACTAACTAACTACATACCATATAGCCTATGTCACTAGTTGACTAGTAAGCTTTTATGATGTATGCATGAGATTTTGACATGGCTGAGAAATATCAATTTTAAAAAATTGTTTCTTAATGTAAAAAGAAGAAGAAGAAAAACGGATTGAATTGTGTGAAAAAAGTTAATCCGAGAAACAGGTTGGTCAAATCCTAAAAGAATTTTTTTTTTAATTGTTTGAAATCTGAGCTCACTAAAATCTTTGTGAATCTCGACTTTTATTAATTGGTCATTTGACAGCATGGGGACAATTAGTCTCCTATAGTATGGACATTTGCTTTCCTAACTTTAGGGTGTATTCCATGTACTGTAGGCCTATGTCTATAGCATGGTGTTATCAATAAAGAAAAGATCAAACTCAATAGGAACATTCAAAATAATGATATTCTTGTCATTTTGTTATGTGTTTGAGACAATTGTAGAATTATCTGATATTTCATCTGATTTTGTTGTCACTTAACCCAGTTTGAAATTCCCATGTTCTCAACTGAATATTTATAGATCTATCATGTTTCTCTGATGTCATTCAAACTGAATTAGTTGATCTGTTTCTATTAGTATTCTCTTTTTCCTTCAAACCTCCTTAAGTCATTAATGGTCGATTTCCCTTCGGATGTTTGTGATCATCTGTCTAGCATTTAGAAGAAAAAATAAGAGAGAGACGTCAGCCAAGGAAATACTCAAAAGGTTTAGGTGTTTTGAAAAAGGCTTAAATGATGAACATGTTTTTGAAGAGTTCATTAAGTGCATTCATTAAGTGACCTTCGGCTTCACTAGCATCAGTTTTCTGTGAAGTACAAGCAACGATAATTAGGACAATTAAATTCTAATGATAAAGGGGAAATATGAAAATACCGGAAGAAAGAAATGAGAAGCAGATTGGCAGGAAGTAGCAAAGATACATTGTGCATTAGAAACAGAATAGACAAAATGATAGATGAAGAACGAAAATGGGATCACCTTACATTACATGAAATTATGAGAAAAGAAAGAATGAAGAACAGGAAGGTGAAAATGAATAGAATAATTAGAGAAAGAAGGTAAATGGAAGAAGAATTTGATGTAAGTAGAGAAAAACAGATGATAAGCATGTGTGATAATGAGAAAGTAAGATATGAAGAAGACGGAGATGAAGAAGAAGGTGGAGAAGAAGAAGAAAAGAAGAAGAAAAAAAGAAAGAAAAGGAGTTAAAAGAAGGAAGAGTTCTAGAAGAAGAAGAGGAAGAAGAAGATAAGGATGGAAACAGAATAACTGCAAAATAATGAAAAGGAGGGTGGGGGGGGGGCAAGGTGGACTTGCAGGAGGAGAAGCAGAAGAAGAGACTTTATTAGAAAATAAAAGTAAATAAGTAAAACAGCAGAATAGGGGTAGAACATACAGGGAGAAAGAAATTGATGTACAATTGAAGAACAAAATAGACATTTGCTACATTCCTTCTCCCAGGGGAAATGATTTGGTTGAACTGCTGCAATAACCATGTAGAACCAGTCCCCCATCTTGACAATGTGGAGTGCTTTCAAACATAATGATCATGGTAAAACACTCTTTAAAAGCCCTGATTTTAAATATGTGTATAGGTATAAATGCATTCAAAGAATGAGGCATCAAAGGTACATCTACATAGAGTACAGTATGGGTACTACACTGTACATGTTCAAATAGTGGGGAACATGCAGATTTGTAATCTGTGATCTGTATTGATTGTAGGTCTAATGCTAGACTGTTTTAAAGGGTAAAGGGGATCTCTTCAGGATGTTTACATGACTTTTCTTTTCAAAATATTTAGATTGTGGCAAATGTGTGTACCATTGTTTGACATTCTAATGGATGTTATTTTGCAGGTAAATCCATCAACGAGCGCAATCTACGATGTCTCTCTTCACACCGATCACCAACCTAAGACTAGGAGGGAGTACCCCCATCGCTCCCGACAACCAAGCAGTCTACATCACAGAGGTGGATGCTCAGAAAAGGTAAGATCTAGGACCCGTTTCACAAAGCCTTTTTTCAATGACAATGACAAAAATCATTGACAAATCTGCTGATAACCAATCAGAAGCAAGGATTTCAGTAGCTTATCACAAAAACTGTCATTTGTCACTGATGACAAGTTTTTGTGAAACATGGTGTGATAGGACATGAATCAGAATCACATCCGCCTACATGGGATCCTAAAAAAAATATACATACCGGTAAGCCTTGTATACATCAAACATTGCCAGTTGTCTCAGCAAGTGTGATCTATTGGGCTAGTTACAGAATATAACATGCGATGTAGTTACCCCCTTTCCAGGATAGTTGATTGTAGAATTATTTTAAAAAAAAGAGGGGGGGGGGGGGGGGGGGGGG